CTTCCAGGTATCCTTGCGCAGCCCCCCCCCCGCCACCAAGCGTGATCCGCCGATTTGACCCAGATTCTCCACTTACGCGTGGAACCCCTCGCACCGTGGATGATTACAATAAACTGAGCATTAGGATTTCTTTATAATTGAATCAAGTGTACTCGAGGTTTGTATCTTTCTGCCAACATCAGTCGTTTCTGCCGGAAAATCCTTTTTCTGTTGGTTTATCCTACGCGAAAAGTCCCAATTTTGTGCATTCATTTTGGCATGAAAATAATGATTTTTCTGATAATTTCACAAAACTCAAAGAGTTGGAAGAAACAAAATTCAGTCAGTCTTGTAGCTGAAGGGATATCATTCCATCCCATATACAGTTACAACATGCATTTGGCTTCCGAATTATTCCCTGGAAGAGACGGTTGCAGACTCGAATGGACGCCCCCAAAAAAATGGGGTGTGCTCCCTTAGGTCCAAGGTAGATTTGATGACTAATAAACTGGTGGATGTACCAACCACTAAGTATCTGATACCAGCCCAGAAAAGAACAAGAAACAGTCATGCCTTCAAATATCAGAGTTATCAACCAAGAATTGAGGTATTCAAAAACTCGTATTTCCCCAGAACTATCGTAGCCTGGAACTCGTTGCCACCAAGCACAGTTGGGGCATCATCACTAGAAAGCTTTATGCAACTCTTGCAATCAAATGTGCAAAGATTGAGTGTAACAAGTCGTTCGGTATGATATAGCTAGCTGCCGCCGCGCTGCGTGCCTGTGAAGCTGGTGTGTTACGCCGAAGGGCGGCTATACCGGCTATACTGATACAGATACAGATTAAAAGTGGTCCAAAGCCACCAACATCTGCCGACAACCAATTATTGACCTAGCCGTGCCAGCTGGGGTGGTACCAGGGGGATACGTTTCCCATCAGCAGTTTGAGAAACAAGTTAAGTCCATCTCTGGGGTCATCCTTAATCATTAACCTCCTTCTGCCTCCTGCCCTTAACCACAGGAAACCCATTACTGCTGGACAAGGAACCTCCTAGTCCTAAAAGATATCAGTCATTTAAACTACCTGAATGGCAGAATACACACTCAGGCCATTATCTTTAAACAGTTGGTTACTTAACCCTTGTCCTGCTGGCATTATTAACACAAAATTTTTCAATAATTTCCTGGCTTAATCGGGTCGTAGGCCCCTGACTTTCTTTGCCTTGCAGTGGCATAGTTCCGCATTCGTTGTATTTCGCTGCTGTGTGATGCATTGCACGAGAAATACAAAAAAAAAATAATAATACATGTAATATATTAAACAGGGCGCTATATGGATGGTACTGTATGTGCAACCCATATGAATATGCAATGTATATAGGTTGCACATACATATGGGCTCCACAGGAAAAGGGTTAAAATTTGAAGAGACTATGGAGAAGTGAATATGACAACATCATTATTGATTTATTGATTTGAAAAGTATAAAAATGTTGCAAAAACTCCAATGGCCCACTCTTGCAAACAGAAGAAGAGAGGCACGTCTGACTACAATGTTCAAAATAACTCACGGTCACATGCACATACCCTCTGAACAATATCTTATTCCTGCACAGCGGCGCACCAGAGGTAGCCAGGCCTTTAAATACAATATTATTCCTGCAACGAAAGACTGTTTCAAATTCTCATTTTTCCCACGCTCGATACGAGAGTGGAACAGTTTACCTGCCCAGGCCGTACAGGCACAATCTGTGGAGGCCTTTCGGGCCTCTCTACTGTAAGGTCCACGCACCTCCCCCCCCCTCAGCGATACCCCTTACGGGGTTGTTAGAGGAAGAAGAAGAAGAAGAAGAAGAAGTACAGTACAACAATCATCATAATCTCTGTTCACATTATGGCCAAAATTAAGATGGCACGGCATTCATGTAGAAGAAATGTTCACTGTGCAACATTTACTTCACAGTTGAGTTTTATCTTACCTTACTATCTTGTTAAAGCTCAGCAAGGAAACAACCAATGGCGGAATAGCAACAGTTACTCCAAATATGACCTTCTGTATTCAGATCTCAAACATCCCAGTTCTTTCTTTTGCCTAATTATATATATATTAGTATATCATATCATACTGCATTTAATTTTACATCCAAAAGTCCCCAACACTTTAATAGTTTTAGATGTAGTATTAACTCATCTAGCAAACTGAAAGGCACAGTCCTTTTACCTCTACTGAGTCTTGTTGTGAGTATTTCTGCAATGAGGTTGTAAATGGAACAAGCAGTTTATCGTGCTAATATTGACCCCAAAACTTCACATGAGAACAATAAGGGATGGAAACTGCCATAACCAATATGGCTAACTCCTCATGCACAAGCTGGTGTCAGGACCCCAGAAAGTGCAAAATGGAACGAAATGGAACGAAATGAATACCATCAATATTAACGTTGCCGTTTGGACGTCGAGCGGACACTGACGTCGCCGTTCCAACGTACGAACGGCTTAACGGCTTTCCTTCATACACACTTCGTTCCATTTTGTTCCATTTCGTTTCATTTCGTCCATTTATTTCGCACTTTCTGTACACCGCTGGTGTCACCCCTCAGGGGCTGGGGGAGCTGAGCAAACGCCAGATTCTGAGACCTTTGACACCATTATTTAATTTGCCTGTCAATCTTCCCCACCCACTTGCTGTCAACCTACATGTACTCTGTCTGGCTGCAATAAATCAACAATCTGTCGGATAAAAACTACTAGTATTATCAAAAGTCATTTATTCCTTTAAAACCAGGAATAAATACAGTACTTTGTTAAAGGATTCCAAAAATCAAGCAGGCAAGACTGTGAAACTAAAAATAGATAGAAGCAACTGTACAGTGTACTGTCATGACATTTGTGATAGCAACAAGCCAAGCTACATGTACTACCTACTCATGTAACGTTATGTACATTACTCCCAAATGCATTCTATTGCATTCTTTTGTTTTCTTACAACCATGGATGACAAGAATAACAGATCAAGTACTCCAAAACAAATCAAATGAATGAAGAAATGTAACATTGTTGAAGAGGGTGAAACATCTTTACTCAGGACTTTCCACATCATTCTATCAAAACCTGAAACAAGACTTGGATTTTTTTTAGCCCGGGGATATCCAGGGTTTAACATACGGAAGTGTTTTCGACCCATTTGTAATAAATTATGATGGATAACAGACCAGACAATAAGTCCCTGAATTGATCAAAGGTAGATTGTTTCCCTGCTCTAAACCAGGGTTATGCCAAAATCCATCCATCACGATACAAAACGGATTACAGTTCCTTATTCTTCCAGAGCACTTAAAAACATTTACCATGAACTATGGCAATTTTGCATTTGGACATATACTGGACAGTTGAATGGCAAATATGTCCATAGCCAAACACACTGTGAAAGAAATAAAGATAATTATAAAATGATATAGAGTCATAATCATGATCTTTCAAATTACATGTACCAGAGTAAAGTTTTTTTTTCTTCAATTACAGCTATTATGTTCATTCATTCAAGTTGGAATGCAATGGCTTCCAGCATAAAATGAGCTTTGAATGAGGGAAATGGCTTATGGAATTTTAGTATTCAGATTTCAAAAGCTCTGAGCTCTGTGTGTACAAATGTATGTGTGTGTGTGTGTGTTGTGTGTGTGTGTGTGTGCATGCACAAGCGTGCGTGCGTGTGCGTGCGCGCGCACATTAGTGTGTGTGTGTGTGTGTGCGCGCACGTTAGTGTGTGTGTGTGCATGTGCCTGCACATTAGTGTGTGTGTGCGCGCGCGCGTGTGTGACTCTGTGTGTGTGTGCGCGCGCGTGCGTGTGTGTGCATCCGCCTGCACATTAGTTTGTGTGTGTGCGCGCGCGTGTGTGACTGTGTGTGTGTGCGCGTGCGTGCATGCGCCTGCACATTAGTGTGTGTGTGTGTGTGTGCGCGCGCGCGCATGCGCGTGTGTGTGTGTGACTGTGTGTGTGTGTGTGTGTGTGTGCGTGTGTACGTGTGTGGATGTGCGGTAAGGGTGAAGTCTGCTACATGTACGTCATGTATCTCAAGCACTATTTATTACATCTCATTTTTCCATGCCTGAAACATTCAACTGTTGCTTTGACTAGAGAGAGAATTTGGAAAGCCTAGAAAATGGGACATAACTTTCAACAAACACAGAGGTTGTTGGCAAATTACAAAAATTGACAAAACTTCTTCATGACAGCAATCCAATTGATGAATGACCAATATCAACAGGGTCCATGTACCAATCAGAGGTACACCCAATACCATCAAATATTAAACACAGGCAATAGAGCCTGACACAACTAGGACAAACTTCACCGGTGGAGTTTTGTTTTCAGAGGAAATATGGGTCATACTGGTAGCAGTCCCTGTGTGGATATTAACTGAATATTGTGTACATGTTCTACTGTGGCCCACTGACTGACACAGCCACCCGTATCACAGAAAAACATGTGCGGTGGGGCATGCAGTATGAAAGTTCACTGGGTCAAAACTGAAATGTCTCTTAATCAAGTTTTAGCTTGCAGCTAGAAGAGATAAACTTTGGCTCTTTGTATACAAACAAGAAAAGCTTTTTAAAAAAGCTGGCCCAGCCGCAGAAAAAAACTAGACGATGGCATCGCCAAGTCGGGAGAGCTTTAAAAAAAACTGGCATTTTGGCATTGTTAAAAAGAAAATTAAACTAGTGCTGACAGCAGGATTTGAACCGGCAAGGCTTAGCTTGCCAAGACATGCCAGACGAAGTGGCAAAGTGCAAAAATACAAAAGAGTAAAAACTTAACTTATTGACATTCCTGAGTAAGAACAGTTAGTTTTTGAATGTTAAAAGCAAAACAACGGATGTTAAAGAGACATTTAAAATGGGATGCCGCCACCGGGATTTGAACCTGCGATGTCAGGAGCTAAGACGACCATCGCTCTCAATTGAGCCACAGGAGTTCATGCTGCTTTGGCGGCCTTCTGAAATGCCTTAAATGTATGAACAAAATATGGAATGCTCCAACATACGTACCAATGAAACCAGCTGAGACCAGGCAATAAAGGATACATATATGGATCATATTCGTGTTATTACTTATTGCTCACGACTCTTAATTTTTTCATCGCACACCTCGAAGTGTGGCCGTGTTGCTAACTGACCTGGGTGCCTGGCTCCAGGCCTGGCATATTGGCATGGCTCTGCAGTGTATGTACATGTACCACCGTTACAATGGTCCAATTTAATCTGGGAAGTGAAAGAAAAAAAAACAGATGATCTGAACAGTACAGAATCTGATGATATAACCAGTATACATGAACTGTCGTGCTTTTTTTTTTGGGACATGTTAAGAATTATGAAACTCTCCTCATTTTGGTTCAAGTTTATTTGAAGAAGTCTACTATGTGAGTTACAGAAAGTTGTTTCAAAGAGTTGAAACTTTCCAAGCATACTGTGTACTGGCTTGATTTATGTGTTGATTTTAAGCTTTGGTCACAACCCGCCGTACGTGCTTCTGCGTGCTGTCTACGTGCAAAAACGTGGGCAAACGCAGGGCATTCATGCGTGGTGAGTACCGCTTCCGTACGGAATCCTACAGATTTGGGAGCACGCAGACACGCCGTACAACAAGTGCACGTAAAACTTTTTCTGTGTGCGGTCTGCAGATTCACCACCCGTGCGTGCGAGTACGGGCGACGCGCGTGCCCCGTACGCACCGTACGAAAGACGCACGTGTGAGTACAGCCTCCTTACAGTAATGTTGCAATCGCACAGAGATCGTACGTTGTAAGCACGTACAACTCACTTACCACTTGCCCAACGTACGATGCACGCGACCGCTCACGGCCAGACGTGCCGTGCAGACTACACTCTTACACCTTGCAAAACCGTGTGAGTGACGTGCGAGTGACGTGCGTCGATGCCACTCCTTCCCCACATTTTCAGAAAAAACGTAGGAGACGTAGCCTCCCAAAAAACGTACGGACAAAAAGCATGTACGGCGGATTGTGACCGAGGCTTTAATGTTTGTTCTGCTAATGTTGCCCATAACTGTAATGTCATGTTTTAAATGTAGCACCTGAGGATTGCCTGAAAATTAGGTCTGGTTACCTAAGAGACTACATGTACCACTGGTCCAACAACCAAAACTCATGACTTTGACTTGTGAATTAGCTCTCAGGAACTTCCAAGCTTGGTTGATCTCCAATATCATGTAATATTGTTAATATATGGATGGCACACTGCACCTTTACAACAATCAGCAAAGGTCACACCTGCGGAGGCACCGACAATATCGTGTGTACATCTGGGGATCGGGACAGGTGAAAGCTTCACCAGATGACCTAGTTTCTTAACCTGGTTGCTATGGAGACAGAGACAGGTGTCCCAGTGAGATTACATGTATGCCACCGAGGTTCAAGTGATTCAGGGATTTTATACAGATTTCTGTTGATGCGACCGTAATACATGTGTAGGACTAGGTCAAGCATCTATTTTCTGAATTTTATATGGAATTAAGTTCAATTTAAAAAATCAATGTTGAGAAGAAAGGTTGAAGACTAAATTCCAAAACAAGAAACGAGTTTCATTTCTGGAATAAAGTTAAATCCATCTTCATATACTAGTTACTTTTTTAATATACTAACACCTAATAGATTTTGGATTGTGTTGAAAAACACATTTTAAATCAAGATACTGTTTGGTATGCAAAAGGTGCCTACATCGATTGTTTGAGAGCATCAAAATTATGGGAAGACAAAACCAGTGGGAGTCAAAATCCGAGGCAAACTGGCTTGTTCCAAACATTGTGGGGGCATGTGGCATATGTAGCAGTAACGTGTTTGGCTCAGGATGAAGAGGTCCCAGGTTCTAATCTTACCCATGTCACCCATCTTGTGCCTTTGGGAAAGGCACATTACACAACTTTCCTCACTTGACCTATAGGTGGAAATGAGGACCTAGCTTTGGTTAGGGACGTCCCTCGGATAGGACGTTAAATGGAGGTCACATATTTGGGGACACGTACAGCCACAACACACGCACATCAAAGAACCAACTGCACTTATCGAAAAGAGTAGGTGTCCTTCCTGGTGTGAGTGGTTCAAACAGTCCGGTCTTACGCAGCTTGTACTTACATGTACAAAACATGTATTAGCCAGGCACTACATCTGTACCTACATGCACCAACAGTGAGGAGTCTGGGGACCTCTACTGGATTATCCTCGAAGTGCACCCACCTGTCCAGGGATCATGCAACACATTATAAATTTCATCTGTTTTTTTTTTTACCAAATTAGCAAATGTGAGTTACACATTATTTAGACATAGTTTTCACATCCATCCAATTCAATTTTGTAGCTGTGTGCTTCTCTCTTTCTGGACAGAAGACTACACTTCTGGCTTTCACCATTCTATATTTTCCAAACCACTGGTCCTATCATAGAACTCGTTATGCCACTAGATTAACTTTAGCAAGTTGGAAAAACCAAAAACGAATGCAAAGAAAAAAAGCTTCAGATCCTAAAGCATTTCCACATGGAATAGCCTACCATCGGACCTGCAGCATTTAAGAACAAAAGACAGTTTCAAATCAGGACTCGTCAAGTATTTCCATGCTAAAACAATTGCAAGGTAGACGAAATCAATGTAACTCAAGATAAAGCATATTAGTAGTACCGGTAGTACTTAGTAGTAGTAGTAGTAGTAGTAAGCCTTTATTTAAACTCGAAAGCTTGTTCTGTACAATACATATGACCGCTTTTCAACAAGGTCGAGGGTGAGGGCGGGGTCACGGATTACAAATCAAACCAAAAAGATATCATTCAAAAATAAATACTAGTAAATCATCAGTCCGTTATCAGTCCAAGTTTCTTATCGTATCGTAGTCTGTTCCCAATGACTGGGCTGATCATACATGTGATGGCAAGGAGTCTTATTAATCTAATATAAGTAGTAATTCTTTTATTGAAGCTGTGTATAAGTTGAATGTCATTTTTAATGATTGTAAAGCATGTGTAGAATGTACAATTTGTGTAGAAGTCAAGTGGTGTAGAAGCCCAATGTCGCTTTTATATGATTGTGAAGTTTGTGGGATCGATGTTTTGCATTGTGTCATTGTTGGAATCCAGGAAGATTAGTTGCACAAAAATTTGTGGATATCCCAATAAAGTATCAGTAAGTATCAGTATCGTGACTTACCTGTTTGTTCAAGGTCCGTCACAATAGTCGTCACGTTGTTGGACGTCTCCTGGATGACCACTAGGTGACCTCTGACCCCTTCAACACCACTGCTGACTCCTGCGATGTCAGCCTCTGCTGCTGTGCTCTGATTGGCTGATCTCTCCATCAACTGGGTGCCTTCTTCCAAACTGGTTGCAATGTCACCCTCTAAAAGGACCATAATAGAGGATGGCATAATTATAATATATATATAGAATACAACACCGGGTATTCCGTATCGCCCGAGGTACCGGCCCGACCGCGCGTCGGATCGCCCGACGGCCGGAGGGAGATCCGATCCGCGGGAAGGCTGGGACCAAGGGTGATGCGGAATACACCATGTTGTATTTTATTTATGTCATACCTACCCAAGAATACGCGCCTTTCAATGCGAAATGAGAAAAAATTTGGTGTCCCTAAACCCAAAAATGCGACAACATCAATTCCAACGTCCGGATTCTGTATTCAAATTTTGAAATCGGTGCACGCGGTTAGGCCGAAACGCGTTTGAATAGTTCTAGGGAACATTTGGAAGGCCCGGGCCGTACGCGGAAAGAACCCCCGGGCCGTACCGCTAGTTATCACACGGGCTGGAACACCCGTATCGAACGTAATCGCGGCCCAGGTAGGACATAAATAACAATATATGAATTACATTATGCATCCCTACATGGTCAAACTTTATCCAGTAGCTTGATTTATTTTGAATCACACAATGTTTTATCTATCTGGATGTGTAACCTTCATCATCATTTTACAAACGAAGAGTTCCCAGCAAATCTATCATTGTCCGTTTATAAAAAAAACTAAAGGATGGGAAAAACTTGGATTTCAAACAATGCAGGAAATAGAACTAGCAGCACATTATACAGAAAACTCTAAAGGAGCACTGTTTTGTCAAGCAACATGAGTTGTGCTGAGTAATGATGATGTTACAAGTTGTGGGAAGCTAAGGTCTAAGGTAAGATTTCATCCTTATGAAATAAAGACTAAGCTTTAACTTCCGACACTTCGATTACAAAATTGGGACTTACCCAAATTTTCGGTTGACTCCATCAACCTTGTTCACGGAATGGACCCGTCTACTCTTGGAACGTGACGTCAGAGACACGTGACCGTAGTAGCGGGTCATACGTGCCAGATAACTTGTGTCGCCCCCCACAAGTGTAGACGGAGTAGACGGGTCCATTCCGTGAACAAGGTTGATAGAGTCAACGGAAAATTTGGGTAAGTCCCAATTCTGTAATCTAAGTGTTGGAAGTTAAAGCTTAGTATTTTTTTTTATAATGACTTGTACCAACAAAGATGAACTTTCATGCTAAGATTTCATCCTCTTTTCTAACGTTTAAAAATACCCTGAAAGCCCATCTTATAAACCACCCCAGCCCCTTGTATTAGATTCATATCTTCAATTATTATTATTTTTATGTACACTTATTTATATAATTGTTTCATTATTGTTATTGTTCATTTTGCCTATGTTTGAATTATTATGCTAACAATTCCCTATGTATGCATGTATTATTTCATATCAATTTCATTTCATCTCAATTTATGTATACTACTGTTTCATTATTGTTATTGTATCATTTTGCCCATGTTTGAATTACTTTGATAGCAATTCCTTATGTATGTATTCCTTATTTCAATTCAATTATGTTTACTTTTGGTTAGTATAGAGGAGGAGGGCTTAGCATAAGCTACATAAGCTTTTTTCCCTCCTCCTGCACCTGTTTTATTCATTATTGATTTATTATGTATATTTTTATTGCTGTTGTGCAAATAATAAACAAACAAACAAACAAATAAGGTAAAGTCTAAGGACCCTGAGCTGCTGCCTCTGTGTCCTGCAGGTCCCTTTCCAGCTGCTGCAGCTGTGCTGTCACGTTTCTCCACTCTGTCTGGACTGCAGAGAAGCTGGCATTCGCCAGCCTGACCTCCTGCAGTATGCCTGTAATACACGATAACAACTGTGTTTTTCAGCTTCTTATAACCACAGACATTCCTCAGAAAGGTAAGCACCTGCAAAAAGAACTTCTTAGAGCAGCCTTGAAATACATTATTACAATTAATTAACATCCCGTCTGCATGTAGTTTCCAAATATTATGTTGGAAAAATATATTGTCTGCAACAGGCAAAATTCTGATGCAACGTTGACCAAAAATCCAATGAAAACCGTGAAAAATCAGGGTTATGCGCAGGCGCAGTACTTTTTGCCGACATGCTTACCATGTGTGATGTGATAGTTAACATCCTTTATTTCAGCACCATGGAAAGGTACATTGTACCAGTGTCTCTGCCTTATTTCTCCCTTTGACAGCTTGTATTCAACTAACTGTAAGGTTAAGTACAGAACAGAAGTTGCTCCTTCACATCCTTTACCACTCATGTAATGCAGACACAGATACATGTAACATCTGTACTTGTAACACACTCATATATCCAGAGTATATGTTACATGGTAGATTTTCAACTGTTCAGGAACCCTCTAACTGAGGGGGGAATACGTGTTAAGTGCCTTTCCCAAGGGCACAACGCCTGGGTGCATGTCCGGACATGTCTGAGTCCAACCCTGGGGATTGAACCTGGGTCTCCTTGCTTGACAGTTGGACGCTCTATCCACTACACCACACAGATACACATACAACAGCGGCTGAGAAGTGTCCTGTACCTGCAGTGCTCGTGTTCTTGCCATCTATCTCCTCCTGCAGTGCCAAGCTCTCCGCCAATGACCGATTAGCTCTCCCCTCCAGGGTTGCTATGGAAACGCTCTGGATGTATTCCGTCAGGTTTTGGACAGTTGCATTGACCTCTGTTGCTATGGAAACTGACTCGTTGAGTAAGAGGGCGACTTCCTGGTAGCCCTGTATGGCGCTGACAGCAGCCTGGCCCTGTGAGCGGGCAGCCTGGAACACACTGCCATGGCAACAGGAACAAACATTACTAAACACACTGCCATGGCAACAGGAACAAACGTTACTAAACACACTGCCATGGCAACAGGAACAAACGTTACTAAACACATGCACTGTCATGGCAACAGGAACAAACGTTACTAAACACACTGCCATGGCAACAGGAACAAACGTTACTAAACACACTGCCATGGCAGCAGGAACAAACGTTACTAAACACACTGCCATGGCAACAGGAACAAACGTTACTAAACACACTGCCATGGCAACAGGAACAAACGTTACTAAACACACTGCCATGGCAACAGGAACAAATGTTACTACAGAGTGCAGGACTAGGCCACACCAATTTAATTTCTTGGTTAACGTATTTTTCTAGAAAAAAAATGGAGCAGGCGGGCGAAAAAAAATTAAAATAAAAACAGGCCTAGGCATCCTATTATGGCCCAAAATGGTAACAATAGGAGCCATAAAGTCAACACACCAGGCTGGTTCAAAATTTAAACAATGAATTTTGAACTTTTAATGATACCATAATGATTGTATTGAAAGATGGAATAACAGTAACAAGTATGATGAAAAGGACTGTTTTCAACTTCAATATGAGCATTTTGCAGTAGATTCTGAATTTTTATTTTTATTTTCAAATCAGAAAAAAAATGAAGCGGCGAATCCGTTAACCGAGAAATTAAATTGGTGTGGCCTTAACTCAGAGAATAAAACTCAATACTGGAAAAAAGATTTATGCAACATCTTAGAGTTAGACCCTTTCTGCCTTGTGATAAAATTGGTGACTTCAGCTTACACCTACGGAAACATGCCGAATATTATGTTCTGTAATAACCGGAATGACCTAAGCCTTTGATATTTGATTAATCACCATGGTAATATGAATGTAAAAAGTCAAAGAAAACTTATGACATAACCGCAAAACATCTCTAACTTGGCTCTTGAAAATGGCCTTTGAAAAATATGATTCAGACAAAAAAGTGGTGAATTTACATTTCAACAGGTGCAACTCGACAATTGGGTAAGGGCTATACTTTTTGGACAAGGGTGTTTCATCCTCCCAGATTTTCTGTGGTAGCGTTTACTCCCTAGGACTGTGCAGGAGTGTTATCCTTGGTTTCTGTACACACATTCAGAACATTTAACTTAACATAAAAATACAGTTGTACAAACACCTTAAAGGCTTTACAAATCCAGAGGTTGTTAGAGGTTTGGGTTTAGTCTTAGTGTTACCCACCTGTCCACAGCATCTGCCTGTACTGTCAGATTAGCTGCATAACCCTCAGCCTTTTGTACAGCTGCCGTCAAGGCAATCAGCTGTCCTGCTACCTGGCTGCTGCTGCTGTTCACCTTTGCTGCTGTTGCTGTCCAGCCATTCTCACCTGAGGTGGCACAAAAGAATGTCTCAAAAAATTCTCTCCTTTGACCAAATATGCTATGACTGTGTCCTGTCTCTGCAGCCACCACCCGGTCACAAGCTAAGTGTGACATCTGTGGCATGCCCGTAGCCAGGATTTTGAATGGGGGGGGGGGTTCTTCCCACTGCTTGAGGGGACCTCGAGCACCGTAGGCGCGAGGTTCCTAGGGGGGTCGGGGGGCATGCTCCCCTGGAAAATTTTGAAAAATGAACCTTCTAAAGTGGCATTTCATGCGTTTTTGAGAGGATTTCAAAGAAAAAATCAGAGAAAATTTTAATCCAATGACAAAGGGAGCAGTTTTTCTACGATTCCAGTCTATCTTTTCAAGAAAAATCTTGGACCTTTACATAAAAAGTGGACCAAAAAGTGGACCTTTGAGCCTTGTGGGAGGGTTCTTCCGAACCCCCCCTGGCTACGGGCATGTGTGGCAGGTGCTTCTGGGCAAGAATCCGACTCATCAGCCACACCCAAACACACAAGAGCAACTGAAGTCAGGATCGTCATCAACAACAATGGATGAACATCATCATCCTCAATCAAGTGTCATGAAAATGTAACAAGAGGAAAATAATCCATATGTAGAAATACACGAGCAGTTACTGTATCCAAATTAGTTTAAATCTGTTGTACCTAACTCACCTTGCATGTTATTGAAAAGGGTTGCATTCTATGAAGCTAGAATGATATCATACATTTCCTTTAACATAACCTACCATTTAACAATATCTTGGCCTGTTCAAAATCCTGGGTTGCATTTTGGAGAACTAGATCAGCAGCTTGTAATGCTGTTTCTGCAATAGGCAGCAGGCTGGCTGTCTCGTGGACCAGAGTAACTACTTGCTGTCTGCTTCTGTTTGCTGTCGTGAGGTGCTGTTCAATATTTTCTGCAGCTGTCAGGACGAGGTCAGCTATCATTTCGGTGCTGTCCATGGTGTCACTCACATTGGACAGCAGAGTCTGTGCTGTTGTCAAGCTGTCTCTCAGAGCATTTGCTTCTTGCACCTGATGTAGTGATGATAAAAGATTGTAATCACCTACAATGAGAAGAATATATCCTAACCTGCTTTTGTGGGTCTAGCAAGTCTACGAAAGCCACACCTTTCACACTGGTGTTCCAGTGCTGAGGGAGCTTCAGCACTGGAATTCTGAGACAATGCTCAGCACTGGAATTCTGGGATACTGAGACAATGATCAGCACTGGAATTCTGGGATACTGAGACAATGCTCAGCACTGGAATTCTGAGACAATGTTCAGCACTGGAATTCTGGGATTCTGAGACAATGCTCAGCACTGGAATTCTGGGATACTGAGACAATGCTCAGTACTGGAATTCTGAGACAATGATCAGCACTGGAATTCTGGGATTCTGAGACAATGCTCAGCACTGGAATTCTGGGATACTGAGACAATGCTCAGCACTGGAATTCTGGGATACTGAGACAATGTTCAGCACTGGAATTCTGGGATACTGAGACAATGTTCAGTACTGGAATTCTGGGATACTGAGACAATTCTCAGTACTGGAATTCTGGGATACTGAGACAATGTTCAGTACTGGAATTCTGGGATACTGAGACAATATTCAGTACTGGAATTCTGGGATACTGAGACAATTCTCAGTACTGGAATTCTGGGATACTGAGACAATGTTCAGCACTGGAATTCTGGGATACTGAGACAATGTTCAGCACTGGAATTCTGGGATACTGAGACAATGTTCAGTACTGGAATTCTGGGATACTGAGACAATTCTCAGTACTGGAATTCTGGGATACTGAGACAATGTTCAGCACTGGAATTCTGGGATACTGAGACAATGCTCAGTACTGGAATTCTCAGTGTTGAACGTTGCCTCTCCACTTGATTTCAAGCGCCACACTCCTCTCTCCACTGGTTTACCAGTGCTGAATGCCCCGTCAGCACTGGAACCAAGTGCTCATATACAAAAGCCACACCTTCTGCACTGAATTTTACCAGTGCTTGGAGACAATTCAGCACTGGAACACCAGTGCTGTAAAGTCTTCAGTTATGGGATTAAACGTGTGCTGACGTCTTTCAGCACTGGAACGCTCTTCAAACCAGTGCTGACATCTTTCCAACACAGAAAGGTTCCAGTGCTGAAAGCGATAATAGCCATAAGAAATTTGCCGGATCACTTGTGTTCTTGTAAATTCAATTGAATTATAATTATATATTAGTTATTAACTAAAACTAGTCTGTGGCCAACCTTATCACCAGAAAGTAAAACCACATCTTAGTGATTACTTTCCTTAATTTTTGTAAACTGCAAGATACATACGGGCATACAAGTAAGAGATATCGAACAAGTACATTCTATCTTCCACTATTGTGTGATTGTGCATAGATACAGCCTTTTGGGAGAGAGTTGGGTGGCTCTGGAAAGGGCCAGGCTGCTGGGAGACTGAATTCAGCCTGTTTCCAGAACACTAATTCATTTGTTTTGCAGTGTTCAATATCACCCGAGCTCTCAGTTCCCAGTGCTCAGAAGCCCGTTGCTGAAGCCACTTTCTGCACTGGAACCGAGTGCTGTGAAAGGAGAGCCTGGTTTTTGTAGTTTTGGTGTGTCTATAGCAGGAAGTCATCAATCTATTATAATCAATTTGTGTCTGTTTTTGGTGCCTTATCCAACAAGGATTTGATAAGAGCTTTATGGAATACAGATCTAGAAATTTCTTTTAATGATGTCAGGTTGTCGCACAATGAGGAAATGCAGAATAATTTGATGCCTGCTTTATGCATTTGAAACTGTGAGCCCAGGACATCACAACACCCCCTACATGAAATGTATATTCTCCCCGTGTGCCATACATTTGTATATTGTCCAACTATCCAGCAGTCTTTGTGATGACATCCTATCAACAGAACCTCACCTCAGTGTATACTGTGGTATTGAGCCACTGTGCAGCCTTTAACTCATTTCCAGCCATGGCCTGCACAGCTTGACTCTGCTGTCCAAGGCCATCAAAAGACACTGCTGTCAAGTAGTCTAGCAGCTGCACAGCTTGCGACAGCATTGTCCTGGCTGATGCCCTGTTTTCACTGAGCTGATGTATGACTGCAAATGCTGTCTGGTTGGCAGCTGTAGCATTGGTCAGCACATCGTGTGCTATCCTCTTCAACTGTTCCAGCCTCATGTACTCCATAGAGCTGCTGTTTAGTTGCTGTCTTCCCCCAGGAAACAGTGCAGACACCTGGATAAGGGATATTTTCCAGAGGGTTATTCAATTGTCTCCACTTTGCTGTTCAAGTCTACTGATATGATGCTTATTTCCACAGCATTTCCTTGCATTCTGTCAACTTAGGAATTTAGGTCACTTTGGTCATTATGACTTTACCACTATAGGCATATTGTTTTTCCTCATGTTTCTTCTCCTTCTCCTGCCATTTAGTTAAATAGATTCAATCTCTTTATTTAGGGGCTAAATGACATGAAATTTGGTACAGTGGGCAAATATCCCCAGGTGTTCTATTTTTTTCAGTTTTGTGATACAGGCTTTTAGAATGGTTTTATTTGAGCTTTTTGGCTGTGTTATAGAAAATGTACTATTATAGCAGTGTGTTACCATATTTGGGCATAGGTCATCACAATGGCATGCAGAGCAAGCAACTAATAGGCATACAGCTTTCCTCTATTCTTCTTGCTGATTGGCTGTTGGGATTTGATTGGGCTAACTCAATTAACACCTGTACAAAGCCATGCCGTATTGACTGCATTCAAGTGTTTTTGTAGGACCTAATATGTCAATCTTTCCTTCTCCAGTATTGGAATGCGGGGCATAAATGCTTCTTTTTATCTTGAAAATCAACAGTTTGCATTATGCAAATAAAAATCCCAACCAATAATGTAGGGGATAGCTATCCAACTGTTACATTCTTAGTTATTTGTCACTTCATACTATAATTATATCAATATAAAACATTGTTTTCCCTTTTATTTCTCTTTCTTTCCCTGCCACGTTGTGAAATGTGGTGAAGCCATGCTGAATTTGCTCCAAAGTAAATGTCGTCCTTTCTAGTTTTAAAGGCCTTTTTATGTATTTCTGTATGGATATGGGCCACAAGTCCAAAAGCAAATAAACAAATACCATACACTGCCTGCTACAGAGGTTCTTGGAAATGTTTAATTCTAACAATCAAAAGTATTACCTGGTTGGTTCTTGGAAATGTTTAATTCTAACAATCAAAAGTATTACCTGGTTGGTTCTTGGAAATGTTTAATTCTAACAATCAAAAGTATTACCTGGTTGGTTCTTGGAAATGTTTAATTAAGATCTAACAATCAAAAGTATTACCTGGCTACGAAGGCTTTGTGTTGTTATGTTCAGTTCTGGTAGCTCTCTGGTCAGGTCACTCACAGCCCCATTCACATCCCCCAAGTCCAGCTCAGACTCCTGCAGGTCCTGCTGCACTGTTTCTATGGTGATGTTGATGTTTTGAAGTGGTGTATCCAGCATCTGTAAGGTGCTGACCTCCTCAGCCATCCCCCAGTGGTGTTCCCAGTCTGACTCCGTCATGTTCAGAAAGCGGTCTAAGGTCTGTTCACATGCCGAGCACTCTGCAGCAATAAACATTACATTAGGCCACACCAATTTAATTTCTTGGTTAACGGATTTTTCTACAAAAATAATGGAGCGGAGCAGGTAGGCGAAAAAAATAAAAAAATAAAAACAGGGGCCGATAGGAGCCATGAAGTCAACACACCAGGCTGGTTCAAAATTTAAACAATGAATTTTGAACTTTTAATGATACCACTGCATTGAAAGATGGAATAACTGTAACAACTAGGAGGAAAGGGACTATTTTCAACTGTTCAGGGCAAAATATGAGCATTTTGCTGTTGATTCTGAATTTTTATTTTTATTTGCAAATCAGAAAAAAAAAATGAAGCGGGCGAATCCGTTAACCAAGAAATTAAATTGGTGACTGGCCTTATATGTACATGTATATCTCCTGATCAGCAGTAGAAGGAATCTCTACACCCCTCACACAGAGTTTCAATGGCTAATCATGAGCAAAAAATGAATGTACATGTGGGACTCTCCTGCTTTACAATACTCACTTTGCTTTAAAGAAAGGCCCTACCAGTCATGCCACTGTTCCATATTATTAGACACATACAATGACGATTGAGGAGCAATGAGGATTGCTACATTCTGTATGTCAGGAATTGCAGAAACAAAGACAAGACAAAAATACTACATATTGATTTCCTTGGGGTGAGGTAACCTGTTGTGATTGACACATTTGTCCAGGGACTTCAATCTTTCTTAAAACAAGAAGGGTGAGTAGTATCCATTCAGTTCTTAGTAAAGAAAAACAAATATCTCACACGTTTGATGACAGATGTGTAATACTATAATACTATTTGTCTTCTATCAGCAAAATCATCTTTAAGTGCCTTACTGTAATGACCTCCGTACCTGAGCATCCAGTGGGTCCAAACCCATGGAACATTGGCAGGCAGACATTGCAGCTACGCCCTCCCACCCCTGGCTTGCACCTGCACAGTCCTGTGGTTCTCTGGCAGGTAGGAACCAGTCCTGGGAAGATGGTGGTTCCAGGTGCAGGGGTGGTATCTACAGCTGTGGTATTTCCAAATACAGGTGTTACTGATGTGGCATTGGGAGGTGATAAGGTGGGCACTACAGGGGTTGGAACTGTGGACAATACAGGTGAAGATGTTGTAGTGTTGGATGTAGGGGTTGGATCAGGTGCTGTACTTGCTGGATCTATGGATGTAGGTGTTGGATCAGGTGCTGTACTTGCTGGATCTATGGATGAAGGGGTTGGATCAGGTGCTGTACTTGCTGGATCTACATGTATGGATGAAGGGGATGGATCAGGTGCTGTACTTGTTGGATCTATGGATGTAGGGGTTAGGTCAGGTGCTGTGCTTGTTGGATCTATGGATGTAGGGGTTGGATCAGGTGATGTACTTGCTGGATCTATGGATGTAGGGGCTGGATCAGGTGCTGTACTTGTTGGATCTATGGATGTAGGGGTTGGATCAGGTGATGTACTTGTTGGATCTATGGATGTAGGGGTTGGATCAGGTGCTGTACTTGTTGGATCTATGGATGTAGGGGTTGGGTCAGGTGCTGTACCTGTTGGATCTATGGATGTAGGGACTGGATCAGGTGCTGTACTTGTTGGATCTATGGATGTAGGGGCTGGGTCAGGTGCTGTACTTGTTGGATTTATGGATGTAGGGTCTGGATGATGTGCTGTAGTTGTTAGATCTATGGATGTAGAGGTTGGGTCAGGTGCTGTACTTGTTGGATCTATGGATGTAGGGGTTGAATCAGGTGCTGTACTTGTTGGATCTATGGATGTAGGGACTGGATCAGGTGCTGTAGTTGTTGGATCTATGGATGTAGGGGCTGGATCAGGTGCTGTACTTGTTGGATCTATGGATGTAGGGTCTGGATTAGGTGCTGTACTTGTTGGATCTATGGATGTAGGGGTTGGATCAGGTGCTGTACTTGTTGGATCTATGGATGTAGGGGCTGGGCGAGGTGCTGTACTTGTTGGATCTATGGATGTAGGGGTTGGATCAGGTGCTGTACTTGTTGGATCTATGGATGTAGAGGTTGGATCAGGTGCTGTACTTGTTGGATCTATGGATGTAGGGGTTGAATCAGGTGCTGTACTTGTTGGATCTATGGATGTAGGTACTGGATCAGGTGCTGTACTTGTTGGATCTATGGATGTAGGGGTTGGATCAGGTGTTGTACTTGTTGGATCTATGGATGTAGGGGTTGGTTTAGGTGTTGTACTTGTTGGATCTATGGATGTAGGGGCTGGGTGAGGTGCTGTACTTGCTGGATCTATGGATGTAAGGATAGAAGTACCATTGGTACTTACAGATGGAATGGTTGAGGTTGAGGGAACGGATGTTGGAGCACTACCTATGGTGTTGAATAATGTAGTGTTTATACCTGTAGTATGTAGAGAAGTGTTAACTGTAGTGCTTTGCTGTGTGTTGTTTGTGACTGGGGCTGACACCTGTCTCCTCTGCCTTGCCTGAAAACCTTCCTCCACCAACCTCTGTGACACATTGCTTGATGTATTTGTCTCTTGAGCAGTGGTGGAAACCAGAGTAACATTAGTTATTCCCAGTGTTGTTGCAGTTGTTACCATCTCTCCTACAGTAGTGTCATTGGTAGTGTTCTCTGTTGTTACAAACTCATCAAGTGTAGCATTGGTGGTGGCTACAACTGTGTCCATGTTAGTAGTTTCTATCTGCACTGTTGTGACATCAGTTGTTTGGGGGCCATCAGTTGTAACATTGATGTCAGTAGTTTCTGTCTGCACGGTTGTGTGGTTTGTGGTGGCTACAAGTGTAGCCATGTCTGTAGTTCCTGTTTGCACTGATGTGACATCAGTTGTTCCAAGGCCAACGGGTGTTGTAGTTGATGTAGCATTCGTGGTTAACAAACTTGTATTAATGTCAGTAGTTTCTGTTTGCGCTGTCAAGTTGTTTGTACTGGCTACAACTGTAGCAACATCTGTAGTTCCTGGCACAACATCAGTTGTTCCGAGGCTACCTGTGGCAGGATTTGTACTATTTCTAGTAGCTAGCACTGTGTCAGTAGTTTCCATCTGTGCTGTTGTTTCATCTGTTGTTCCAGGGTCACTGGGAGTTGAAACAGATGGTGTAACATTTGTGGTTGCTGCAGCTGTAACAGCTGTATTGAAGTCAGTAGTTTCCATTTCTACAGGTGTTCCAGTTACTACAGATGTGTTGATTTCAGTACTTTCTATCTGTGCTGTTGTTACATCAGTTGTTCCACTTGGGTTGGGAGATAGAGAAGCAGTTGCAGCATCTGTAGTGGCTACAGTTGTTACAGTGTCTGTAGTTTCTCTCTGCACTGTTGTATCTATGATTAAAGTTGTCCCTCCAAGTGCATCCTGGATGGTTGTTCCCTCTGTTGCATCTTGGGAAGTTGTGAGTCCCAGCATTGTTGTCTGCCCAAGTGCATTCTGGGTGGGGGTTACTGAGTAGGGGTCAAACTCTGTGCCGACAAGGTCACAATCACATGCTGAAGGAAGAAGAGACAGACACGTTAGGCATCAAGCTACAACACTTTTATACATGCTCACACCTTGGAAACTAAATCACTCGTTCTCATTGCAAGCTTGAGCTACAAAAATGCTGTTGCCACTCTTTACATCCTTGTTGTAACCTCCAATGGAGGTTACACAGGGTAGTGGAAAAGATGTAACAAGAGATTGAATTTCCTTTTCCTGTGCACCATAAACATAATATTTGGAAATAAAGTAGAAAACATTTGCATCCAAAGGAAAATAACCCTCAGTGGCGTCAACAGACTCAAATATTCTACCTTTCTTTGCTTCTAAAGAATCGATATATGTTGCTACTTCATGTGTTCAATATGTGTACAGTCATGTATATTTAACAGTGTATAATGGGCTGACAGAAGTACTTCCATAGATACTGGCACCTAAACTAATGGCTCTTTAGGTGATGTAATGAATACAAGCTTTATCATACACCCAACTCATGCTGATGTTCCAGTTTTTTTGCCACACCAAAAATTACATTGTTTTCATATATCTTATCAAAGTAAATAAATTTTCAGTAACCTCTCGTGACGATTAAGGCTAGCTGTCATTTTTGGGTAATTACTAATTTAGATGTTTTCCTCAATTTCCACAATTCATCAATTTTTCCACCCTAAAAAATCACTTTTTTGTACTTTTGAATCCAAAAAAATCCGTTAACCAAGAAATTAAATTGGTGTGGCCTTATGTTGTCCTCACCTGTGCAGGGCATGTCTGGCAGGCCGTAGGTCCCTTCCATACACCTGTCACATTTGTTCCCCTCAACACCAGCCCGGCATGAACAGTTGCCCCCCTCCCCACACTGGGGGGAGTTTGAGCCATGGTCGTTACAGTTACAGGCAGAACAGCCTGGCCACCCGTCGGTACCATTTCCGTCTGGGGTGTCAAACCCATAGTGATTCTCCATACACCTAGAACATCTGTGAAGATATTATATATACTTAGATGGGCATCAAAGTCATATGTTTAAAATCGTGTAAAATGTACCTTTAACTTACATTTGTACTAAGTCAATGATCTTGATCCAGCTTTTTAGATGACTAAGGCCACACCGACTTAATTTTATGGATGACATCCACGCGTGCATTAATTTTCACCTGATCTCAAAAAAAAAAAAAAAGATCACGTCTTCCATGGTGGTAAGCGACAACGAAGCCGGTGGTAACTCTGGGGGCCGGAACCCAGGCTACCAAAGATCCCACGACTCAAGAACTCAGTACATACGTACAGTGTCGATTCATAAATTCCGAAAAAAAGCAGCATGTGCTGGCCTGTCGTATACGTCGCTATGTAATGCGCCAAGTTCACAATACCGGCTTTGTATTCCTGTGGTTTACTAGCATTTTTTTTTTGGCCGGATTTTTCTTTTTTTCGCCTGTGCGCACTAGTTTGGGGGTCTTCAGAGGATGTCATCCATAGAATTAAGTCGGTGTAGCCTAAAGCTGGATCAATAGGTTACTAAGCTATTATCACTCTGGTGGCTGTCGCAAGAGGGACAGACATTTCAAGTACATTTGTACTTTATCGGGATTGCAAAAACATGTCAACAACATACTTATGAAAAATTATGCAAAGGTTCAAAGTGTGAGGAAAATTTAACTTTAGAGCAGAGCTGTAACGTTAAATATCACATAATCAAGTACATGTAGTTATACATGTCACTGGCAGCACGTCGGCAGAACGTACTGCACCTGCGCAAAACCCGTAATGTATCGTACATAGCACTTCGGCAGAACATCTCATATAAGGTTGTATTTGCTCATATAAGGTTACCATTCCGACAGTAGTTTTCAAATGTTACGTCGTAAAAGATATGGTCTGCAACAGGGAAAATTCTGATGCAACGTTGACCAAAAATCCAACGAAAACCGTGAAAATCCAGGGTTCTGCGAAGGCGCAGTACGTTCTGCCGACGTGCTGTCACTGGCCAACATGGTCAATGTCATCTGTAGAAAGAAGCCAATCTAAAGTGGGTGAAACAAATGTGTCAAAAAAAGTACTGTCTTTACATGTAAGAGACACCCAGATACTATCAGACTACAGTATATGCCATACCTCCGATTACTGTTGTCTACCCCAGGTTTACAGAGGCACTGCCCGGTGGTGTGGTCACAGGTCAAGTTAACAGATCCAGCCACATCACAGGCACAGGCTGGGGGGAAGACATACATTGTACATGTAACACTCCGCCCTGCCGGTAAAAGCTATCATCATGAGATAGCTCTGCGTCAAGTGTGCCGGGGCAACATTTTACATAGTAAGAGCTATCTTGACTTTTAGGTACAGACCAACATACAACTTGTAACACTGATCACTATCAATTCAGATGTTTAATTTGATATAAGGCCACACAAATTTAATTTCTTGGTTAACGGATTCGCTTCATTTTTTTCTGATTTGCAAATAAAAATAAAAATTCAGAATCAACTGCAAAATGCTCATCTTTTGCCCCGAACAGTTGATAACAGTCCTTTACATCCTAGTTGTTACAGTTATTCCATCTTTCAATGCAATGGTATCAATAAAAGTTCAAAATTCATTGTTTAAATTTTGAACCAGCCTGGTGTGTTGACTTTATGGCTCCTATCGTACCATTTTGGGCCATAATAGGATGCCTAGGGCTGTTTTCATTTTTATTTATTTTTCGCCCGCCCGCTCCATTATTTTTCTAGAAAAATCTGTTAACCAAGAAATTAAATTGGTGTGGCCTAAGTGTAGAATTGCTTTGTTGATTGTGTTCCAACATGGGTTCCAACAAAGCATGTTTGATTATGTTCTGTTTGTAAGACTGGGTAATCCCTTGAAAAGTGCCCTGGAAGGCAGAGTACCACAGGAGCTGGCTGGTTTCTACTCGGCCGACTACATGTAGTGCTTTAGCCCAGAAATCTCATCCAGCTGGCAGGCAGTGTCCATCTGCCACATCAGTTTCAGTTTATTTATTTAACCAGAAGATACACTCAGGTCATTTGACCTGCTTTTCAGGTAGATCTGGGTACAATAAAAATGCAGAAACAATACAATGATAACAACACAGTACATAGCACATAATAGCCAAACAGCAGTACAAATACAATATAATTACAATGAGTTTTTGAAGGCCGTTACAGCTCGGAGTTTTCTCTGTTCTATCGTGAGCTGGTTCCACAGCACTGGACCCTGGTACTGCAGGCTCCCTTTGTATGTGTTAATGTTTGCCGATGGAACAACCAGCATGTGAGGGTCCCAATTTGCTAACTGATTTACAGCTAACCGCGTCCGTCTGTTCAACATTGGGGGTGGCATCCACTTACACATTTGAGACAAGTAAGGCGGCATTTTCTTGTTTTGTACCTTAAAAACAGTCACCAGTGTGTTTACTTCCACTCTTCTTGATAGTGTTTCAATACCCGCCTCTGTTAATAGAGTGTCAGTAGGTACTCAGTCCTGCAAAGTTCTGCCAGCGATGATTCTGGCAGCACGGTTCAGCAGCCTGTTCAGTTGCCACATGGCAAATGGCAGGAGTTGATTTGGGGCTATAGCACTAACTAAACCAGCCGAGTAGAAACCAGCTAGCTCCCGAGGTAATCTGGCTTCCGGGGTATTGAAAAGCAACTTGTCAAAGTTGAATTATCTTTATTGATGTTCACCTTCACTCAACTTCCAAATGTGGCAAGTATGAAATTCCCAGCAATTACAACTATGAAATTATAACAACTTCCGACTAATTATGCAAATTAGGTCTTTATCTACATAATCTATATCCTCGATCAGATGTTCTTCTCGTTCTCAATTACATGTCACAAGTGTTTCACAGTCCTATTATCGATCGAAGCAGATTTAAAGAATTTCCTCATTAATTATGCAAATTGGTTCCTGATTTGCGTATTAATTAGTATCTGATTATGTCAAGCATCACTTCAGCTCCCTACATGCCAAAAACCATGACAATACGTTGACCGGTTCTTGAGTTATCCTTCTTCAAAGATTTTTCAACAAACGCCCCTGCAGTTCCAGAACAAGTCGCTAGGTGGCCAAACGCTACTGAAAACATAACCTTCTTGGCGAAGGTAATGAAGATTGTCACAAATAAGATCTAGTCATCCATGATTCATGCTTACTGAAAAGCACATAAAGCAGAAAACTTGGTCCTTACCACTGCAATTGCCAAATATGGCATCGCCATAGAAACCATCTGTACAGCGGTCACATTTGGAGCCAGTGGTGTTGTGCTGGCAGCCTGTGCACTCCCCAGTGACGTTGTCACACTGGTCAGAGTTCCCACTGCAGTCACATTCAGTACAGGCAGAGCCACTCACAGGGTCTCCCCAGTAGAACTCACCACAGCTAGTGGGAGAAAATTCAAAGAATGAAAAAAATCTTCTGGGGTACTGAAAATCACTTCATATTCGCAGTACTTTTATATTTGCAGTCACTTCTGTACCACAAAATTATCATTACAATTTATCAGTAATTTGCAGGAAATCTTTTGAGATTGCAGGAAGAGTTATGAGCACCTAACAATTTGGAAAGAGTAATTATTAAGTTTCTTGATAATACAAATTATTACATATTGGAGAAAAGACAAAATTTCGGTTTGTGCTTATACCTTTCACAGTGTTCCCCTTCATGTCCCTGTGTACAGTTGCAAATGACCTGCCCCCCCTGGTCCACATGGCAGGGGGTGTGGTGCAGGGGGTGGCAGGGACAGGGGGTGCACCCCCCTATAGTGAGATTGTAGTACCCTGGGAGACAGATGTCACACATGCGCCCTCCAACACCGGGCTTACAGGGACACTGACCTGGAAAGAGAGGAGGAGGTTGAGTTACACAATGTGTACAATGTATTCTTACTCATCATTGGTGCATCTGTTCAACTGATTCTTGATGTTAACACACCAACCTCTGCAGGCATGCAGTGATGTCTAGTTTGACTAGTTTGACAGCAGCTTGAACAGTTGGAGGAATCGCGGGGTGGAAAAATAATAAAACTTGAATAGGGTATATGATAATAATGTTAATGACCAACCTATTCCTCGGCGTACGCTACCGCTTACTCGGCGGTTCAATCAGTGGTTATAGGAAATGACCAGGCCTTATGACACCATATACACCTCGGGGCGGGTCATTAATCCTTAATTAAAGCATATGAAATTATACCATTACTATCAAAAGCTTTGCTGCAATCCACAAAAAGCACTGCACAAGGAATCATTCACCTGTTGTCATGTTACACTGCAAACCTGATGCACCAGTCAGGTCACATCCACAGGGGAGACAGGCCGAGGAACTCTGGTGGGAGACCTCGGGGTTCATGTAGAAGAGGGTGTCACAGCGCTCGCAGTTGATGCCTGTCGTGTTGTCATGGCAACTCAGACAGACTCCGCCCCCGTGGAACCTGCCGTCTGCAGCCAGGCTGTGGTTGCCAACGGAAACCGTCTCATTGTACATGCACACCTCGCTGTGGTTGTTGCAGTTGCATGCTGGGGGAAGTACACAAAGCCAACTCAGTTGCCTTGGTTCTACATGTTACATGTACATTTTACTCTCTCTTGAGGAAAGCACAGTCTCATGTCATATGCAGATTCTATACAACAATAAAAAAAATGGTCAGCATTGGAAACCCAGATTTGCTATCCACTAGAATATTGCACCATAAGGCCACACCAAGTAAATTTTAAGGATGACGTCCGCGCGTGCATTGTATTTTGGTCCTGTTCCTAGAAAAAAAAAAAAATTCCGCTTCCTGTAAGTATGACCAAAGAGTCACGACAGTGCCGCAAATTGAGGATTAGGCAAATTGTACTTACCATGAAGGATAATCCCAATTATACCTCACACGAACTATTTGGGTATATCATTTACCTTATGCAGTATTTCCTATGCTTATCGCTAGGTGGCGCACGTGTACAAAGCTCTAATCGCAAAGCATCACGGGATATCATGACGTAATGACATTGTTCACCGCCATTTGACGACGTGCGAGAAAGAGTCTGTGCTGTTCACCAAGGGTGGGCATTTTCAGCTACTTGGGAGCTGAAGAACAGCAAGGGTGGGAAGATATACCCAAATAGTTCGTGTGAGGTATAATTGGGATTATCCTTCATGGTAAGTACAATTTGCCTAATCCTCAATTATACCTGCACACTCCCTATTTGGGTATATCATTTACCTTATGCAGACTTCAGAGCCGTGGACAGCACAGCCTGGCCAAACGTGTGTTGGTTGTTGTCCCTCCTGTAGTACTTCAGGAAGGTAGACTCTCGTGACCAGTCCGCTGCATTCATGATGCTATGTAGAGACACCCCAGCAGCTGTAGCAGCTGAAGTGGATGCTCCTCGAGTGGAATGAGCTGAGAAAGGGCGTATCTATACGGAACCACCCAAAGCGGTTTACATGTGGTTTACCCCGAAGCCGGTTTCAAGTGGCTCCATCTGAACGCTCCGAAATCACATTGAAAGCGCCTCGATCCCAAGCCACTTCTAGAGGTGGTTTCGAATCGCTTTCCCCGCATCGCGATTTGCGTCTGAACGCAATGTGATTTCAATGTGACTTCGCCTGGTCATGGATTACGGAGTGATATTTCTTTTTTTATATGCAATACCAACTTTTACGTGGCAGCAACTTAAAGAGCAGTAATGGTCAAATAATGTGTCCGTTCTAGGGCGAGCTTCACCGCCTCTGGCGGGACCACGTCGGCATTTGGCCGAGATACGCTGGGAGGGGGGCATCAGCAAGCAGGTCGTTGACCTCTGACATTAATAACACGCCGCCTTGCGTGTTATCATCAAACAGCAATAAATGTAGCTTAAGCGTATTGTGTTCGGACACGGTTTCACAGGTGTGTGTGGCACGTGGACCAGATGTGAGGAATGTGAGTTACCCGAATCGCGCCTTGGGTGGTTCCGTATAGACACGGCCAAAGTTGCTGTGTCAACACCTGCCGTGCCTAACACTGACTTAACCCACCTGGCCAGGGTCGCAGAACCAACTGGCCTGTGTGGTCTGCTGAACGATATGAACAACTTCTGCTCCCCCCCCCCTTCTTTCTGAAGGGAAGAAGTCCGCCTTAGATATTCTTTCAGGTATGTGAAGGCACACAAGCGCCTGTCCTGCGGGAAGGCCGCCCAAAAACACTTTCTGGCAGGTTTCCCTGGTCTAGAAGTTTCAGCAGGGTAGGAATTGCCCAAGAAAACACCGTTTCTACATTTTTTTTTTTTTTTTATGAATCTCAAGTCAAGAGCCGCTAAAGTCTGACCCCTGTCAGCTGACACCAATGCCGCTAGTGTTACCAACTTATGAACCAGCTGTTTCAAACTAAGACTATTAGCTTGGCAACAATGCAGAAGGTACTCTAGGACCCGACTGACGTCCCATGTTGAAACATATCTTGGACAAGGATGAGGTCTGAAGCCCCTGCCGAAAAGGCCCCGACCCTGCAACTGTCGCCTGATCTTGGCCACGCGGCAAGCATCAGATCTGGCAACAGCGGATGGGGTCTCCTGTTGTGCGGCAGGGACAGCAGATCCCAGCTCTGTGGCAGGAGAACTGGACTCTCGAACAACATGTTCAACACCTCGGGGTACCAAGTCTGAGACTTCCAAACTGGAGGTATCAAATCACTATTGCTACGTCTGACTGGACTTTCCTCAGTACCTTGAACACTAGGCTGAAGCGGGGAAAGGCATGCGCTAGCCCCAGGTTGCCTCAGTGAATGTTTAGGCCATCCACCGACATGACCTCTGGTTCTGGGTGCCAAGAGACATACTCCTTCAGCTGAGCGTTCATACGAGACGCAAACAGATCTACTGTCAATGCATTGCCTGTCCAATTGTTCAATGACAGGAAAAACTGAGCGGTTCAGTTGCCACTCTACCTTGTCCAGAAAAACCTGCGAACACCTGTCCGCTAGGGTGTTTGTCAATCCGGGAACGTGAGTTGCAGACAACGTCAGGCCTCTTTCCAGCTGGGGCCCACGACCACATCTCCAGGGCCAAGGCTGCCAAATCTGGCGACCTTGTTCCCCCCGCGTGATTCACATATGCAACGGCTGTTGTGTTGTCCAGCCTTAGCAGAACATGCTGAGTATCTGCGCTCACAAAGCTTCTTAGCGACAGGGAGGCCGCTTTCAATTCTAGTCAGTTGGTCACAGTGCATGCGCGCTTCTGTTTGCGACCAGCGCCCGCCTGTCTCCTGACCATAACAATGCGCGCCCCATCTCTCCAGTGAGGCATCCGTGCAAATTGTCAGGTTTGACGGAACAAAGACTCTGCGACCGTTTACCTCGCGCACATGACCGATCCACCACTGTAGATCTTTTGCTGCATCTGGGGTTAGACTGACTAAAGAGTCAAAATTCTCCCGGCTTCTTTATGCCGAAATTGAGAAGCTGTTGCATAGCCCGGAATGTAAGGGCCTGGAAAGAATGGCTTGCTTGGTGGACTCTAACAGCCCCACCACGCTGGCTAGCTGCCTGATTCCTATCACCTCCTGTTCTAGAAGTGATAGGCAAGAACTCACTACCTTGTCTAACTTGTCTTCGGTTAGGTAAATTGTCAAAGTACGAGAATCAAGAACAAGGCCTAGGAAAGTCGCTACCTGAGACGGTACCAACTGCGACCTCTCCAGGTTGAGAACAAACCGAGTTGCTCTGGAAGCTCTCTGGCTATAGCAATGTGCTCTAAGCATTGTTCCCTCGACCTTGCAATGATCAGTAAGTCGTCTAGGAAAACTACTACTAGTAATCCCTGTCTCCTTAGAATGGGCACAATCGGCCGCAAAACCTTAGTAAATACCCTCGGCGCCGACGTCAGACCGAGGGGAAGACACTGAAATTCCCAAAGAACTCCTCTCCACGAAAAACAAAGGAATTTCCGATCGCTCTGAGCTATTGGGATGGTAAACTACGCATCCTTTAGATCTATAGTTGCTAGGAAACCTCCCTTTTTTCCACAACTCTTTGACTAGGTTTATCCCTTCGAACTTGCAAGTACGTTTCAGAACAACTTGTTTAAAGACTTTAGGTTTAAAACCGGTCTCCAGCCTCCCCGAGCTTTCGGGACTAGAAAAATCGTAGAACATATTGGCTCTCGCAGGGTTCGATTTGGACCCCTGCACCTTTCTCCAACATACTGTGCACTTCGTCGTCTACAACCTCTGCTCTGTCCTCCCCAGATATATTTGTGACCGGCTGGACGAACTGAACCGGAGTGGACTCCCAGTTTTCCATGAAAAAAAGCTGTTCGCCCTGCGTATTGAACCGGAGAACAGAGCAGAGTCTGATGACGAGGAAGAGCTACTGTTTGTTTGGGCCTTTTGTGCATTTTTGTGCTTACCCCCGGCATTTGACCATGGTCTAGCATTGTTGTTGTAGGGACGAAAAATGTAACCCTTTTTAGTTTGAGGAGTACTTGTTGTAGCTATAGTTAAACTTTGAACGGTTGGACTGAAACTGTCCCTAGCCCTAGAAGTGCTCGAAGGGGCTGACTTATAAGCCTTACTCAAAGTGCGTCTAGCCTAATCGGCTGAATTAACCTTCTCCAAAAAGGTGTCTCCAAATTAAGAAGGGAAAGAATCTGAAGTTCCCGAGCAGGTCGCTACATTTTTGAGCGAGGACTTTACTCACAAATTTTGGAGTTTAACTGCTGCCAACAACTCTACTAAAAGGTTAGCAGCCATGAGCATCTTATCCTGGCAATCACTAAAATTCTTATCAGTGTTTACGGTATCATGCTTGATCATATTAGCCACTACTGGGTCTAGAATCGGCGCCCGAAGTGCTAATTCAACATTAGGTGGAGTGGGAAAAGTTTTCCTTCCTCTCTTCACTAAGGGTTCGGACCATCCTCTAAACCCGATGCTGTTTGCAAAGCGATAGAATCGTCTTTGGTGTTTTTTGGGATCAGCTTCCTCTACTATGACTCAGTATAGACGTGAAATGTGTGGCAAGGACATGAAACAAGATATGAAACATGTCTTCAAGACCGATTTTCCCACCGGTTCCTCCAAATACTTATTTGAAGTTATTATCGTAGGGATTATCTAAACGACAAGGAGTTACCTTCGTCAGAGTCAGAAAAGGTGATTTTTCC